GGGTGTGCTCTGGAGGTATTGTTTGAGAGAAAATTATAGAAAAGATAGAAAGGAAGTCTGGATGTATTGAGGGAAGGAGGGAAAGAGAAAGAAAGAAAGAAAGAAAGAAAGAAAGAAAGAAAGAAAGAAAGAAAGAAAGAAAGAAAGAAAAGCTTTAGGAAACAGAGGAAAAGAAACCATTTGATTTTGCTAGCTTGGATATGCACAGTCACAGAACTTGAACATTCCCAGGTTCTAGGTCCTGTGAACAAGCACTGGAGCCTTGGGAAGTGTTTAGGAACTCCATGGGATAAGGAATGGATGAATTAGTTGTCAGAGTTTGTAGCTGTAGATTCGCCTTACAGAGCCTTATGGGTGCATGGCCATCATCAACTTTTCTTGGCTGCTCATTCGTGCCCAGCATAGGCCAGCTGCAGGCAGAACATGAAGCATTCTATGAGCAGATGAAATCAAGATTCATATTGATATTCTGATGAATCTTAAAATAGGATCGTTCTAGTTGCTGTGACAAACACTATAACTGAAAATGACCTAAGGAAGGAAAATATTTATTTGGCTTAAATGTCCAGGCCACAGTTCATCAGTCAAAAAAGTCAGGACAAGAACTTGAAGGAAGGCCTGCCTGGCTGCTGTTACACACAGTGTTTCTTCTTGGCACTCACTTCAAAGCCAAACAAGTACATCGGGAACCACAGGGGCTGTTGCTCACAGCTAGCTTGCAGCTTATACTCAGTCAGCTTCCTTCTACAGCTCAGGACAATCCCTTTGCTCCAAATGGTGCTGTGTAAAGTGGGCTATGTCCTGCTGAACAAGGCAATGGGGCCAGTTTGACTCAGCAATTTTTCAGCTGAAGCTATCCTCTCAGGTGACTCTAGGGTGGGTCAAGTTGACAGGAGATAGATTTTCCAGACAGCAACTAACAAGCTTCAATGAACTGAATGTACTAAAAACTGCCTGTCTAATGCTCATTAAATTTGTAGTTAGGTTATCTATTACACATAAAAATTCAAACTCAAAGGTACTCTTGTAGAGTCCCCATCCACTTTAAAAGAAATACACAGAAGGGCTGCTTTCTCTGACACACAAAGCCCTGGCCACATTGTGTCCCAGTGTTTCACAGTGGCAGACAGCCCTTCCTCTGTGAGATATCCCACCCACCAGTGATTTGAATGGTGTCCTAATTCTTAACTTTCAAGTCTCCTTCACCCTTCTCTTTTCCTCAGTTCCTTCCCACTCAGGGTCATTGCCTGAAAAACTGGGTTTGCACTCCTAAGATTTTAAGTTCAGGTCTGGTGACAGCTTAAAAGGAAACACCATTTACAACTCCTACCCTTCCCCATCCCTGCTCTCCACTTGGCTCTCATGGAAGTCCCCTTAACCAGCTTCCGGGTTGGAACCATCATTCAGAGAAGGTTCCTTTCCAGGCCATTGGCTGTGTTCAGTCACTGGTCCTCTCTGTCACTTGCATACCTTCCTGTCTCATCAGAAAGCTTCCGGCCTTAACAACAACCCAGGGTGTGAAAGTGAATTGTCTCTCACTGTAAAACTTTGTTCTGCTCAAGGAGAGTAAGGACAACACCAGACTTGCTTCAGGGGAAGGTTGCCAGGTAACCCAGGATGCCTCAATTCACACGAAGAGCTACAGGCAACTAAGGGGTGCTGAGAGTGGGTTAAACGGTTTTCCCTGGGGGAGAACATACCAAATCCAACATCAAAGGGTCATCCTGAAAACGTACACATGAGTTACATAATACAGACTAGGCAGGTTCTATTTAGGAATATATTTGTATATAGATGCATAGATGCATATATTTATGCATGTAACAACAATTAATAAAACAAGGCCATGGGAGAGTGCAAGGAGCAGTATATATGGGAGGGTTTGGTGGCAGAAAAGGAAGGGGAAAATAAAAAGTATGTTATGGTCTTGTAAATGAAAAGAAGTAATAATTTTTTTCTTTAGCTCTAACATGGGCAGTCATTATTAATCTTTAATAATTTTCTTGTCTATTTACTCTTAAGCAGTGGATAAAGTTACAAATCTCTTCTAACTTCTCTGCATAAAAAAAGACTAACACTTTCCCCAAGATTTCCAGGTATACAAAGAAGTCAATTCTGTCTGCCAAACAATGGATGCTTTTATCACAGAAGATTCTGATCTTGGGTTCTCTCTGCGATAAAGTATGCCTGTGTCCTCAAAGTAAAGACAGAAGATAGAGGATGTAACAGAAGACAGGAAGGAACTGCACATTAATAAACTATGAAGACTCAGCTGGAAAATGTACACAATTCTACAGTTCTGCAGCAGGCCTTTCTCCAGCATTCTTTATATCATGACGTTGGTTTACTTTAGTAAACAAAGCAATTGTGATAAATGTGATTGTTACATGTGGGAAATGTCTAAGTTTATTCCACTTAGACTTCTGTCATTTTAAAATTGGTTTGTAACTCTGTGCCTTGCAACATCAAGGCATGTCCTCCTTCTAAACAAGTCAGTCCATAAAATGTCCCTTCTGGAGGAAAGGAGGATATGCCACCCATCTTCACCAACATAAACATAACCCTCTCACTGGTTAGGATGTAGGCTGCTTCCTCTAGCAGCAACCTCTGCATCCTCAGTAGACTAAAAAGAGCAACAGAAAATTCTGATGATCCTAACAAATGTGCCTTTTACCTTGAGGAGATCTCTCTGGTGAACCTGAGGTTTGGCAAGTGGATCTCAACCAAAAACAATAAACTGGATAAATGGATGGACAGATAGACAAACAGGTCGAAGGTTTGACAGATGGATGGATTATGGATGGATGGATGGATGGATGGATGGATGGATGGATGGATGGATAGATGGACAGGTGGACAGATAGACAGATGGATGGGTGGATGGATGAACAGACAGACGGATGGACAGACAGGTGGATAGATGAATAGATGGATGGATGGACTGATGGATGGGTGGACAGACAGATGGATGGAGGGACGAGTGGATGGGTGAACATATGGATGGATGGATGGATGGATGGATGGATGGATGGATGGATGGATGATGGATGGATGGATGGACAGACATATGGATGGAGGGATGAGTGGATGGGTGAACAGACGGATGTATGGAGGGACAAGTGGATAGGTTAACAGATGGGTGGGTGGATGGATGGATGATGGATGGATGGACAGATGTGTAGGTGAATGGATGGGTAGGTGGATGGATGGATGATGGATGGATGGATGGATGGACAGACAGAAGGACAGATGGCTGGCTACATGACTGGCTGTCTGTTCTAGTGGATGGTGAATAGATAGCCTAAGATAGTTTCCTATCACTTGGGACAGCAAAGATCTTTGTCTCTGACTTGCTCTCCAGGATACCCTGTAGTTTTCCCAGTGACTAGAAATGCAATGGAGAATGGTAGTGCATGTGTCGAATCCCAGCACTCAGGAGGCAGAGGCGAATGGATTTCTGGGGACTTAGGGCCTGTAAAGTGTTTCAGGACAACCAGGGCCATGTAATGAAACCCTGTCTCAAAAACAAGGAACAGAAATCAAACAATAAAAACATTCATTTCTATCTTCAGTTCAGAAACAGATTCCCTGAACAGCAAAGAAGCCCTGGGGGCAAGGAGGAAAGTCTAGTTACAAGTGCTGCCTTCAGAGCCATTTTTAATAATGACACGAACGTAACTGAAATCGATCACATACACAAGATGTCACTTTCTTAATTCTTTTTTCTTAGGAAAAGCTTTGTTTTACTATTTTGCATATTCTTACTTTTGGAGAACTGGGGACACAGAGAGAAGTAAACTACCTAGGAAGCAGGGGCTGGCGCTTGCACTTAAATCACTGTGGCAGTGGAGCTCATGCCCACATTCATCCTATTGTCATTTGCAGTCAGCACAACTTATCAACCCACAACTTACCGGTGTCCTGACAGCCTTCGCTGATAATAAACAGCCTGACTATATTCACTAGCAATATATAACCAGAATTCTGCTGTTACTGCTTCTGGCCGTCCATTCTCTTTAGGCAGATGGCTTCTAAGTAAAATGTCAATTTCTCTAAGATGATCCCATACTGCCCTTCTCCATGAAATGCCCAGTGATTCTATATTAACTAAGGTAAGTATGGAAAATCAATGTTGACAAATCAGTGTGGGGAAATACAACTATGCCCATAAACAAAAATGAAATCACACTTTGAAAAGTGCATTATGTCAATAAATATTTCCCTCCTTAGGAAATGCAAACCCCATGTTGGACTGCTACCTATTTATTTCCTGGGTTTTAACTCAGCTTGTGGAGCTTTATTTATGACTCATAAAGCTGTGATACAAAGTGAAGAATGAAACGCAGTGAAGTTCAATGTGATGTTTACAGTCTGGAAAACGGGAACCACCTTCGTCATTCTAATGGGTCCATAATGAACAGGGAAGGAAAAAGAAGGCTGGGGCAACGAGAATTGTCAGATGGTCTCAACCAGATGCTGAAACTCAGGCATGAAAATATCTAGACATTATGCTTATTCACTAAAAGGAGATGGGTAATAAACAGCTTCTTTCCTACTAAGGGCAGATTATTAAACCAAAAGAAACACAAGAAACAGGAGGATGAGAAACAAGGGAAAGACAGAAGATAAAAGGGAAGAGGAAGAAAAACACGAAGACATTCAAAAGATAGAAAAAATTAAGAAGGAAAACAAAAGGATGCTGAAGAGAAAAGGGAGGAAGTAGAAGACAGAGGGAAGAGGACAGCGATGAAAAGGAGGGAAAGACAGAAATGGAACAGAGATGCAGACCTTCTTCCAGCCGTGGATGACAGCTCACATCTGCCACTGTTGCTTCAGGTCCGGAGGTTTCTTTCTGCCATTATTTCTAAATTTAGGATAGAATAAACCTGGGCTTTTCCCTGTCATCCCACCTTCTGTGGACATTAGGACACCACTGGAAAGAGCTGCATCATTTAAAACTTAGAGAAAAACCAAAGGGAAATATACTAACGTACCTGTGGGTGCATTTATGCCTGCATTTGACAAGCAAAGGATGTTCATAACTGTCTCCTCTGTGAAATCATTTCCATTCTCAGGGCAGCAAAAAAGGCTTCATATCATTTCTTCAGATGTCAGCTTCATAACCACAGCATCGCATCCCTGTGAATTAAGATGCATGTCAGCCGCAGCCAATATAAATGCAAAACATTCGCTGTGAAGATGCCTCTTCCCACTTCAAGGAAGGAGCCCAAAGTCAGATATGGAAGAGAAAAAAAAAACTCTTGTGGGAGGAGGGCAAATATCTGCCCATAGTTTCTCTTTTATTTAGGAATAAGCACACTATTTTCTTTTATAGAACAGATGCCAGTGGGGTTTAGTTCAGAGTGGCTGAGAGCTGTGTTCTGAGGGCAAGGGCACAGACCACAGTAAGAGGTCAGTCAGAGATCTTAACAGTTCATAGCACTGCCAATATAAAACATTTTGTAGGAATGTCAATTCACACACCTTCAAATGTTCCAACCTTTAAACCTCCCATGTTTACAGAAAGCAAGTATATCCAAACATTTTGTTTTGTTTCTCTTCTAATGAAGCATATTTTGTCTAACCCACCCAGGATATCTCAATGTTTATTCATTCCCCCAAACAGATTTGAAAATCTACTACACACATCAAAGCCCTGTATAGCTATAATAAACCAGAATATTTTTTTTCTCTGAGCAGATTCACATACCTGAAGAATAAACTTGAGCCAACTGTTGATTTGGAGAAGCAGCTAGACAGGTAAAGAATTTCTTGCACAAACATGAGGATCAAAGTTTGGATCCCTAGAACACACATAAATGACAAATGAATGCAGCATCCCACCTGGAATTCCAGCCCCGGAAGGCAGAGACAGGAAATTCCCACAGTAAACTGTAACTAGACTAGGTCTAGCAGTGAACTCCAGGTTTGATTCAGGAACCCTGGCTCAGTGAAGTAGGTGGGAAAGCTGTTGATGACTCCTGACATCTGCATGCCCTTGAACACTCACATGTTCCCAAACATATGTTACCCCCAACACGTAAAACATATCTATACACACATTGACACACCACACACATAAAAAAAAAAACCTTAAGCCACAGTATGTAAAGGAAGGAAACTTGTATTTCAGAAGTGTTCATGTGCCAGACAAGCGAGTACCCCTATATTTTAGGGTTCAAGAAGTTGGTGAAAAGAAAAAGGAGAAACTGTTTCTTAAGTTTATAAATACGAAAGAATGCTAACATAAAAGTCCTAACATTTGAAGTCCATTTTTAACTGCTGTACTACAAAATATTATTACAAGCAGTATGTTTGATCAGGGAGAAATCAAGTATCCTATCACATTAAATGGAGAGAAGTTGTAGCAGATAGGACCAGGGAAGATTTCATGGAAGGAGGAGCACCTGGTGTGTGGGGGCTAGGAAGGGACAGTTTGTGCGATGTCAAGGCACCTGAGCCAGCTCAAGTGTTGAGTGGAGACCACAGCGGAGTGGCAGGTGGAGGGACTCTCTGCACCATCACAGGTCCACTCACCATCCAGTGTGACACCTCATCCAACATCCCCAAACATTCCCTCCTCAGCACCAGGAACAGCGTAGAGTCTGAGATGTAATTTGCTTAGTCCTCCTGAAGGGTGAGAAGATTGAAATCAAAGTCAGTCTATCACTTACCTCACAGACTGTGGAGTTGGCTGCCTCCCTGCCATATTAGCTATTTCCAAAAGTATGTCTGGATGTCTTACTCAGTGACTTGTTACAATTCTTTTATCAGAAATGGTCAGGCTGGGGCAATGGCTTAGTGGGTGACGCTTCCTCCAAGCAAGTGTAGGGATTGTGGTTTGTGCTCAGAACCCACTTAAATATCCTGTGGATATAAAGACCTGCTTGCATATCTAGCCCCTGAAGGAAGAAATAGGGGTATCCCAGAGCAAACTGACTTCTGGGACTTACCACATAGGATAGCAATGGGTTTGATCAGCAGGCAATGTCTCAATGAATAAGATGGAAGAAGTGTTAATCTTGGGTCCCTGCCCTAGCCACGCCCACTCCCATAACCTCTGACCCGCCCATCGCCATCTTGGGACCCTCTCTCTCTTTCTGCTTCCTTAGCGTGCGCACGCGTTTTCTCTGTCTCTCTCTTCTTTTATCGCTCCTCTCTCCTTTTATCTCTTTTCTCTGTCTTTCTTTCTCCCCCTTCCTTAATAAATACTTATGGCTATTTACTGTGTTTACGTGTCTGTTACCTGCCGCCACCGTGGGCCAAGGAAGCATGCCCTCCTGTAGCCGCTCTCCCATGGCAGGCTCCGCCAGCCCACCCGGGGACCGTTTGTAGCCTCTCTCTAATCGTTTTTTAAGAATAACAAGAAGTATCACAGATAATTCTCAACATTGACCTTGGGCCTCTACATGCACACAATACCCCCACACACACACACACAGAGGCACCCCCTTCCCTCCACATGCCCACATGCATTCACACACACACACACACACACATGTCTACATACATGGGCACCCTACCCTAACACATGCATTCACACACATACACACATGCCCACACACGAGCACCTCTACCCTCCACATGCATGCACACACATGCCTACACACATAGGCACCCCTACCCTACACACACACACATTGGCACCCCTACTCTCCACATGCATACACATACACACACACACAAATATGCCCCCACACATAGGCACCCCTACCCACACCCTCCCATGCACACAAATGGGAAACAAGTAGCAGTTTCTAGTTTGGCATTGACTATAAAATAATAAAGAAAATAAAGGTCATTGTAAGATACAGTCAGGATGTTAATGAGCTGGAGCTGATAAAGAGAACAGATACCATGGACAAACACCACTGAAGGAACAAACACTGGTCGTCAATCTTAGCTTTGCAATGTTCTGAACTCTGGGATTTAAACAAAGCCAGGATTCATGAGGAAAGCGGAAGGAACTTGTTACAGGATCTAGAGCTTAACCAGGGCTCGGAGGCTCTGGAGAAAATTCAAAAGGAAGGAGAAAATCACTCACACACAAAGCATAGGCCGTTTCAGCTCTTAGGTAGTTGGAAGCTTGACATCTACGTGCTACACAGGACAGGAAGATAAGACACACTATCTTAGTGTAAGACCCGCTGGCGTTGTTGAAATTTCATAGTAGTGTCTCCCAGCTGCCTGGGGTCCCCCTGGACAAGAAGGAGCCACCAGGAAGCAGGGCTGAGCACCCAGCAGAGAGGATCATATCTTACCTCTTTGTTCTCTTCTTTACCTCTCCCCAAGCACCAGAGTTCTCCAGGCCTTCAGGGATGTTGCTACAATTTTGCCTTCCAACATTGTATATTATCTCCTAGCCCTCCATGAAGCACAGTGAACACATTGTCTTCAGTCACTTCAGAACTTGAAAAGAAACAAAATAACGATTTCAAACCTTTAGAACCTAAAAAACAAAATGTAAAAAAAAAAAAAGTAAAAGAGCATAATTCCTCCCCATCAACTTTATCTAGTCAATAAACATTTAGAGGGGACCTAAAACATACAAGTCACTGTTGTGAGTGCTTTAGCATCCTAGCACATTTAATCTTAAATAACTCCCATGGCTTGAATATGCCTACAGGTTTTCTGGTGAGGAGACAAGCACATAGGAGAACTTGACAAGCCTAATATGCTTACTGTCTGAACTGCAATTTGAGCTCTGACAGCTCAGCCCTTGACGAGTCCTCTCATCAACATTCTGATCTTGTATATTCCGATTCTAGTTGTTGAAGTCATCTGTCAGAAATCTCAGTATGGACACAAGAAGGGGATTTTAGAATATGTAATGCTTTCATGATTATAAAATTCATATTTGTTTGTGTTGGTTAGTTTTTATTGGCAGCTTGATGCAACCTGGAAGAGGAGACTCCTACCTCAGATAAGAAATTGTCCATATTAGGTTGGCCAGTGGCCATGTCTGTGAGAGAGACTAATAGTTTATGTGGGAGAAACCAGTCCATTTTGGGCAGCACCATTCCTAGGCAGGTGGCCTGGCTATACAGGAAAACTAAATGAGTATGGACCAAGGAGCACCCTAAAAAGTAACACTCCTGGATGATCTCTGCCACAGTTCCTGCTTTCCTGAATACATGTTCTGACTTCCCTCAGTGATGGACTGTGACTTGGAAGTGTAAGATGAAATATACCTTTTCTGTGTCAAATTCCTTTTGGTCAGAGCAACAGAAAAGCAAATGTCTAAATTTTCAAAATATAGAAAAGGAAATAGTGACAAAATCATTGTTGTAAATAACTACCATAAATATTTTTTTGTGTGAAAAGATTCTGGTATTTTCTGTAATTTGGAGGATCGTCATACCCTGCCTTTGTCCATTTTATGTTGTTGTGGATAATAACATTATTGAGTGCTCTTGCTGTTACTAAGACCAGTGAGATCGCATAGTTTAAATCCATAGTAATGCACTGTAATGTGTGCCATTCCTTAGTATTTAGATCATTTCTGCCTTTAGCCTTCATAATTACTAATACCATCACAAAAAATACATTGAGCCTACCTCTGTTTATTTCTTCCACATATGTCTCCTGGGGGGAAATTACTAGGTCAAAGGACACACATACTTCTGAAGGTTATTAAGAACTCCAGAGAATGCCCTTGAACAAGGCTGTAGAAATTCAGAAGAGAAGGTTAATTATTTTCTGCCCCAAGCTTTTCTTAGATGCCATCTAAGAGACACTCAAAGACAGATACTCACAAGGGAGCACACGTAAACAGAGTGTCTCTCAATCACTTAGAAGCTTAATATTAATTACAAACTGTTTGGCCTATAGTTCAGGCTTAATAATAACTAAAAACTACCTCTTACATTTAATTTAACCCATTTCTATTAATCTAGGTATTGTCATGTAAGCATGGCTTTTACCAGTCTCCTGGCATCTCAACTCCACCCTTCTTTATTTATTATGTATACAGAGTTCTGTCTGTGTGTATGCCTGCAGGCCAGAAGAGGGTTCCAGATCTCATTACAGATGGTTGTGAGTCACCATGTGGTTCCTGGGAACTGAACTCAGGACCCCTGGAAGAACAGCCAGTGCTCTTAACCACTGAACCATCTCTCCAGCTCCCAGACTCCACCCTTCTTTCTCCCTGTATTCAGTTTGGCTTTCCCACCTAGCTATATTTTGCCTTGTATAGGTCAAAGCAGCGTGTATTATCAACCAATGAGAGCAACATATATTCATAGCATAGAGAGGAGTTATCCCACAGCAAACAGAGTTTCTCTCCTGCATATCATTCCAGAATGAATCCAAACAAACACTGCTCTACAATAGCAAACCATGGACACAAGGCAAAGAGAGCAGGAGAAAGGACACCATGCAGGCTTGATTCCGCATGTTTAGGGCATGTGGTTTAGAAAAGCAATAACTAGATGTTAATTAGCCATCTCTCATTCCAAAGCAAGCAATATTCATACCCATTAATTTGAACCTTGCGGTTCAGATATCTATAGCATTTAGGTAGAGACCTGCAGTGCTACAAAGGGGAAAAAACTCATCTGCATAACTTCAGTCTTCAGTGGTTTTGTATGTCTGCAAACTCTGGCATTGTAATTCTCCTCTTTCTACAGAGACGTGAATCTGGAAATTTTTTTTTCCGGTGTAATCATTCAACTTTAAGGCGCTGACAATGAATTTAATTTAAACAGTGGTGCACTAGCTACAGGATATATCGCCTTTAACTTGACCTTTTAGGACTAATTCCATTTTGGCTGTAATTCTTTAGCTTTCTGCTAGTGTCTTTGAACCAGCTGAAGAAGTGCTACAAAGGAAGAGCTTCTGTGGCAGGCGCCCTGAAAACACCTTGTGCTTGACAGCAGCGCCACCTGTCTTCAGTTCAGGTGTTGGTTAGTAAGATGAAGTCGTCTATAAAGAGGCTCCAGGCTAGACTGAGAGGAGAAACCAGCTTTAAGGAATTCACTGCCACCCATGTGTTTATGAATGTCTGCCACCTCACATGCATCGATTTATACCTGAAACATCCTGGAGTGAATAGCTGCCCCCGAGAAGCTGGCCTATAAACGAACGCCACTAGAAGCAATGGGCACCATGACCTGTTTTAATAGACTGCTCGATTTGGCTCTGTATTTTAGCAGTGCATGTTAAACTGCTAACTTATCAAGCCCTAGCGTGTTATTTTACAATAAAATACATTTTGCAAGCATCTTTGTATGCCGGGTTCTTTTTTTATGGGATGTTTTCCGTTGTGCGGATGTTCTGATTGATTTTCAGAAGTTGAGAAACAGAAAGTGTCTTTAGTAATGTGATGGAGGTCAGACAGTTTGGAAATTATGTACACTCCCAGTTGTCAATTCTTTGTCTCAGCTCCCAGGTCACCACAAACTACCCACATCTCCAATACACAATATTCTTTTGGTATTGAGATGCTTCTTCCAGAAAATGAGGGGTGGCAGATTGTCCCAGTGACTTCCTACTGCCATCAAAGCAATCTGGCCTTCTAAAACATTCCAAGGAAGAAAGTGACCTCATATTACACAGAGAAATAACTCAGAAAGGAAACTCACTGCATTCAAACTCTCTCCCATTGTTTCCAGAGCATGGTTATGACTCTTTGAACAGACTCCCTGTTTTCTAATTCTTTGCTAATAATAATTAAAAAAAACAGATAAATCAAGAATAATTTATCTCCTTCACCATTTTAAACATACGTTGTATATTAGTTACATTTCTGTTGTGTGATAAAACACCATGTCCAAAAGCAGCTTAAGAAGGAAAAAATATATTGGCTTAGCTTTCCAGGGGGCTAGTGTGCTGGCTAGTGTTTATGTCAACTCGATACAGGCTAAAGTAATTTCAGAAAAAGGAGCATAAATTGGAAAAAAATGCACGTACTGGATTTACCTGTGAGACATTTTCTTGATTAATGATTGATGTGGGTGAATCCATCCCACAGGGGTTGGGGGACACCCCTGGGTGGGTGGTCTTAGATGGTATAAGAAAATAGGCAAAAAAAAAAAAAAAAAAAAGTCAAGAGAAGCAAGCTAGAAGGCAGCATTCCTCCAGGACCTCGGCTCCTGCCTTGAGTTCTCAACTTGATTTCCCTGAAATTATAATGTGAAATAACCCTTTCTCTCCATGTTGGTTTTGGTTGTGGTGTTTTACACAGTCATAGAAAGCTTAGTAATAGCTGGAAAGGCATGGCATGCAGGCAGGAGCTGGAACCTGGCTGATCTCATTTAGATTGTACATGGAAGCAGAGAAAGAGCACGAATAGGGTGTGGCTAAAAACCTTCAAAGCCCACTCCTAATGATGATATACCTCTTCCAACGAGCCTGTAAATCCTGAAACTTCCATAACTGTCCCAAACAGTACTACTGCATAGAGGTATCAAACTGGACAAGCCATGTGGGGCATTTCTCATCCAGACTGCCACAATTTGCTTTGCAGAAGTTTAAATTGCTTGGCATAACCCGTGCCCTGCCAGTTCAAGTCCACAAACAGTTATCTAAGTGACAGTAATAATAAGAATGGCTCAGTCAACAAAACCCTGGGGCACTAGGAAGGTCATCATGTCCGCCTGAAATGGTGGGACAACCATAGGGCTCCCTGTGATTTTCTGAATCTCGGTGACGCACACAAACTGTTTGATCTCTGCAGGCAGCATCTTGGACCGCACACAAAGCATGTACTCATTCAGCCATAGTTCTAACTGCATTGTGAGGAACAGAGGAGGCAATAGGCCGGCTGTGCGCTCTGCATTCTTCTTCCACCATAGCCGCGCTGGTGAAAACCCGTCCTCAATGAAACAGAATAGAGAGGAATCCATGCTGCCTACTTTCAGGTTACCCAGAGTCTGGCACACCGGAAGCCCTCAGTCCAGGAAATGTGTCTAGCCCCATGCTTCAGGAAGTGACAATCACATCATGATGCTGTGGGAATTTGCAGAGCATATGCAAGGTGCAGCTGAAGGTAAGAAGGCAGAGGCGTATCATAGGATTTCACAAGCACTCAGACTTTAAGCTGCATTGCATCTTGCCCATCCCCCACCAAGCACCTTATTCAGACCTGCATAAGGGTGGTGTGGAAAAGCCAGAGTGTCAGAAGCAGAGCGGGATGAGACACTTCTGCAGCCTTGTTACTTATTTCATCCCCTTCTGTGTGCTATACAAGTTGTCGTCACAGAATGCTGTGGCAAAACCAAGCCATTCAGAGAAGATTTAAGGTAGCCCATGACTAAATGAGGGAACTTAATAGAGTGAAGAAGGCGCAAAGTCAACCCACAA